GAGAGAGAGAGAGAGAGAGAGAGAGAGAGAGAGGGGTTGTAGCGTTTGCGAAGCTCTTGCCGAGGCTCTACAGCACAGTGTGTATAGCGGAGTCTGTCAGTGCGTCTGCGCGCGGTACATTGCTCCTTGACCCTCACCTCGCTCGCGCCGGCATGAGCGCGCAGCATCCGACGAGAGGCTGCGCGACGCCAACCAACCGGCTTGTACTTTGACGGACGTCGCGACGCCCTACGTCACCTTTTATACGCGCGCGCGCCAGCTCCGTACTCCCAGCCTCTTTCTATGTACTCCTCTCTCGCGTTGCCTCGAGTGCGCGCGCCCAGAGGCCACTTTCTTTCGATATCTAACTCACACACGCAAACTCATACATGCGCACATCGAGCTTTTGTGTTAGCTAGCTCCTGGCACCTTTTTCCCTTTCGATCTATAAAAACGGAGACTTACTTGCGCTCGAGCGACTTTTCCCGTCACAAATGTAATGGAGAATGGAGCTTGACGTTAAAGGTTTTCTCGAATACGAAGCGAACGCGCGGGCGCAATTCCATATACGTATACGTCTCGAGCGCATCGACGCGTATTATTTACAATCTAGCGGAAATCGTCGCAGCGCGAGCAACAAGTTAAAATCTTGATACGAAAACCGACTGTCAAAGCCCGCAGCATCATCTCGCTGGTCTTACGTTACAGGCAATCGGCAAGTGTCTACCTTATGGGTCTTTATCAAAATCGACCGCACACATCGTATTACGACGTACTCTCGGCTTCTATTAGCTTTCTCGCGCGCCTATATAGCTGCGTCGTAAAGTCAGGCGCGCCCGTAAACGCACGCGGGTACTACTCCACTACCAAGCACACACACACACACACACACACGTAGCATAGAAGCTCGATTTATTCACGATGACCTATAACACTTCGAGTCCCGAGTGACGCTGCAGTGACTCGTAAATAATGACTCTGAGTAGCCGGCAAGGCGGCCGTCTCCACCTGTGGTCGCCCCACCGAAGCTTTCGGCAACTAAGAATAATGGACTTGAGTGCGTTCTCGAGACAATTCCGCATGCTCTATCGGCTCAAAAGCTCGCAACCCAATCGTATCCTACTGCTTTGATTCTTTATTCATCCTTCGCGAGTACAATCGTTTCGATTAACTTGAACATTATTGTGCAAGTAGCAAAAGCAGCTACGTGAATGCATATTGACTAATTCATTACAATGAACTTTATAGTTTGAAATTGCTTTCTTATATTTTTCTTGAAAATGTGAAAATAATATTCACAAAGGTAATCGAGAAGTTACTATATTTATAAAAAATATATTTTCTCGCATTTAAATATAGTTGCTTATTTTAGCTATCAGCCAAGAGCACAGGTTCTATTCAAGCATAAATAACACATCACACTCGCAAAGCCTTGTAAGGTAAAATAGAATGATAAAAGTCGAACGCACACGTGCTAGCCGACTGTATGAAGATATCTTTGAATGCTGCAGAATCAGTTCTTTATGCAAAGTTTCTTCATCGGGTCTATTCAGTAAGCGAGCTGGAAAAGTCGAACGAGAATATTTGTATGCGATAATCGGGCCTTTTATACCTTGAAGAATGCATTCTGGTAGCTTGATCATAGTCTTTTGATTAATTTGAATCGCTTCGGCAATGTCTTTATATTATTGTATTAAAATGGACCGAAGAGAAACTTGAATACAGATGGAGAAATGATAAAAAAAATTAAAAGAAGATTTGAACCTGATTTGCCTTACGACACAAGTATATCTTCAATGATCTTTTTTTGAATTATAAGCCTGAGAAATGCAGAGTTAGTCACTCGTGCATTATAATCTCTGATGCATATCTACGACGAATAGAATCTCATGCGTGAGTGTTGGCGTTATTGTGTGCAGTTAATGTGAAAAGTCAACAAGCATACGTTCAAACGGAGGGTGGGTTCTAGTTAGATATTTGAAACTCATCATCGTTGCGAAGATCGTGCAAGAATATAATGAGTTTATGAAAAATAACTTTTGGCCATGTTTCAGCGTCACTACAATTATTGTACTTACAAGTACGAAAATGATAAAAAATACAGATTGCAAAACATTCAGGCTATTTATGCAAATTCGCTGCTTACTGATGCATTTGGGTTATCGACTCGAAATACTCAGCGATGCATCCACGCTCGAAGTAGATACACAGATACACAATGCGAGTATGCGGTATTAAATCATAGAGCCGTGCCGTTGATAGCGGCGTCGACATCGGGCGACGGCGACGACTCTATGACGATGCCGTAGTTTCCCCGCCAGCGATGCCACGTTTACTACCGGATAAAACGCAGTGACTGTTATGTTATGGACCACCTGTATGCCCCTTGCACGCGCACGACCCTGAACTCTTCTATCTGCGCCGACGAATGCACGAGTAGCAGCGGTGCACTGCATTGCTCTCTCTCTCTCTCTCTGTCTGCGTATGTGTGTACGAATAGACGCGAGGGGGGAACGAAAACACAACTATCGCATCCGACAGACAAATTAAACATTATAAACTTCTCCATCCACGCGCTCTAATTACCTACTTTGGATTGAACTAATATTCCAGCGCAAACGATTCGAGTTTTGTTTTCTTGCTTCCGAAAGTTTCAATAATTGATCTCAAAAATAAACGTCAATGTGATGTTGTAGAATTCAATAACAAACAACTCGTAATGAAAATTCGTATATACATAAAATAAAGAATCGAAATCGATGGTTTTTTCGTTTCTACGGAATAACGATAATAACCGAACAGTTAAAGACATCACTGCATGTACACGACATCACATAAGCACATAGGCACATAATTGGCCAAGGGCTTTTATTATTATTATCTATGTACACTCAAGCCGGCGCAATAGATATGCATAAATCGAAACCTCATTGTGCGTCTTTTCATGCGCGTAATTCAGATCAACGCATGAATTATCAACGCATACGTGGGAGATAGATGCGACTACATAAGGCAAATACATTACGAGCGTACGTATGTAGAGTCGCATTAAGTGGCTAGGTAATGCCGCACTCCCTCGATCAGAACGACGACAATCTTACATAAACGGTCGCTACTTTACTTTCAACACGCACGGCTACATACACAACGCACACACATATATCTACGGCTCTGTATGCGTGTAGAAAATAATCAGCCCTCGAGTGCGTTGTTTTCGATCGTCATCATGTATATGCAATGCAGCCACATATATGTAAACCAAATCAATTCGATATAAGTGCGAGCTATATAGAGTCTCATTACGATATATAAGCAGTCATTACGAGTGCAGCTATCGAGCGAGAGAAGAAAAAAATATTTATAATAATCGATGGCGATTGTAGAGAAGGAGGAATCGTCTAACCGATGCATCGAACTTATTGACGTATCCTGTGGAAGCGGCGGCGCCGATCAAGCCGGAGAAGTCTATGCGCCTATACAGGACTACACGTAAACGAATCGAGAGAAGTTGAACAGCAACAGCAACAAAGCTCCGTATAACTCCGTTAATTCATATCTGCGGCAAAGTTGGACTTGCAAGCTCCGAGGATAACTACTGAGAAAGCGAGAGTTTGCATAGCCGGAAACAGCAGCAGCAGCAGCAGCAGCAGTAGTAGCAGTAGTAGCAGCGGCGGCGGGGGGCGTTTCTACCGTAGTTGCTGCTGCTACTGCTGCTGCTCCTACTGCTGTAGCTATATATATATCTATGTATACATACACACGGTGTGCGTGTATGTATAAAGTATGGAGGAGAGGGTTGCTACAGACCTGGCTAGGGAGGAATCGATATCCAACAGCCAGCCGGGTTGCTCTGTCTCTCCCGGTCTCTTTGACGCAAGCGAACAACAGCGCCATCACGACGTATAACACGTCAACTTCGCGAATTTTAGTTTTCTATATCATCCTACCTGCCACCATTTCGTTTGCCCGTCGACAATGCGATCTTGAACACTCTTCAAGGAGTGATAAATAATTTTTTTCATGCCTTTCGTATGTTACGATTCGATCGGAAAATTCGTCATTTAATTGGTTAACGGTGATCATGTACTTTGACGCTCTATGACTTGGGAACTTTCATTCGTTAGACAACTTTTAAAGATGAAGACGTTGAGTTTCTACATTTGCTGAGCATGGGATGGTCTAGCTTATAAGATTAACCTTATTCACTGTAGATTGAAATGAATAATGTACACACTACGCAAGCATCACTTCGCTCATAAGAGCGCATGTGCATGACTTCTCGCTTCCGTTAGCCAGAAACATAGACAATGGCGAAAAATACTACGAGATACTGACGAACAACGCCTCTCGAGCCCTCCATTTGATTAATTACAGTCATGCAATGAGATTGAGATATGTTATCTGAGTCAAAGGATGATGTAAATAATGATGATTTGACGTTGCGCTTGCTTCTCGATGAATTAATTAAATTCCATAGGTAATTTCAGGATATTTTAAGTTGCGCGAGGTACTTCGAAATCATCAAATATGCACTCCTTAGAATGATGTCTTCCGGGGAATCATTTGATATAATGATCATTCGCAAATTCATAGCTTAGGTATTTTTGTCGATAATTCAGTTTATATGTGTACTTTGTAATACGTTGTTTTATCATAATTATGGCAATATTATACTTCCCAAATTCCCTTCGAATAAACTAATAAATTGAGTTTATGATCTCGTTTGAATCTAATGAATGAATACTATTTTCTCTCCCCCCACCCCCTCTAATTGGTCTGAAGAAGTTATGACAAAAATACCATTTAAACTCCACGGAATATTTATTTTTCTTATCATTACAAAATAATTATTTTTAAGACACCGAAAAACATATGAAGGCAATAAATTTTTATGAAATTCAGAGACACTGGCGATACGTAAAACAATATTTTCATTTGAAGAAGTTATATATAAATCGAAAGGCATATAAATACATTTTGTTATATAGTCAATAAAATAAATAAAAATTAAAAAAAATTACCGTCGGTACAACTGCCTCCAAAACTACCATTACGCTCTATAAAAAAAAAGAAAAAAAATTAGAACCAAAAATTGTGACAGAAAAAAAATAATTTTAAAATATTAAATAATCTTAAAATACTTTTTCCGCAACCATTAAATGCTATAACAAAAAGAGAAAAAAGAGAGCATGAAGATAAATAAAGCAGCAATAAAAAATGACATGAGCTGTTACGTAAAATTAAGAAAAAAAGCGTTAAAGTTACATAAAATATATAAAGCAGCAAAAATGATCATGCTAGCTATTTTCTCCAAAACTACCACTGAATTGAAAAAAAATGTAACCAAAAATGTTTACCATCAAAAAAAACATCTTCTGAACCATCAGATTTTACTGAAAGAAAAAAAAGAGAAGTAGAAAGCATGAAAGTATACATGATAAATTAAGCAGTAAAAGAAAATTCACCTGAACTAAGCCTTCTTCTCGCCGCAATATACTTTTTTATATCTAAATAGTTCACCACAAAAAATAAAAAATAAAAATAAATATTACCAAAGCAGATAGAAAGAATACATGATAAATTAAGCAGTGAAAGAAAATTCACCTGAACTAAGCCTTCTTTTCTCCGCAGAATTCTTTTCTACATCTAAATAGTTCACCACAAGAAATAAAAAATAAAAATAAATATTAACAAAGCAGATAGAAAGAATACATTTTTAAAATTAAATAGTGATAAAATTCCATCCACAAAGCGCATAAAAAATGCATAAAGCAAAAAAAAATTACCTCCATTGGCCCTATAACTTTCATTAGCAAAATTAGGTTCTCTGAATCCCGGACATGACTTACCTAAAACAAAAAGAAATTCAAGTTTATTTATTAGTGTGTATTAATTAAATTACGACAAATGTTGTTATTATAAATAAATCAGAAATGCAACAGACTCAATATAACTAAGTATATTCAGGATATTGAAGCTTTCGAGGTGAGCACAACCAAGTAAGGTGGTTGGTTCGTGAAACAAGTCGCATAGCGTTGCTTGAGCATCCCAACACTTATTAAAATCTGTTTAGTACGCGCGTAAGAGGTCATTGGAAAAGTGGCGTGCGTACCGCAAGAGCGTAAGTATTCGTCGGCAACCCTCGAAAAAGAGCTGGCAAGGGTGCCTGCAGGTCAGGTCCCCAGAGATCTCGAAGAGATATAACTATGGAAGGACTAAACCTCCGCTGACTGTCTACTGTTTTGCAAATACATAAAAGCCGCTTGGATTTCCATCGTAAAATTATCAACTGTTTTGATTTTATCGCCCACGCCTCGGGCACTACATATTATCTAGATTCAGCTCTCTCTCTGTCTTTCTCTTTTTTCTGTCTCATCGAATATCGGAGCTTTTTTGTCTCGTTGATGCGAGGCGTGGCTGTCATGTACACTCGCACTGTAAGATTGCGTTTGTTGTGTCTAGCTTTCAATACTAGTTGTTAGATAAAAAAAAAGCTGTAAAAAAAGAGTATCTGTCGTTTGAATCGAGTGCATGCTATACTTCGCGCCTTACATGATTGATAGTCTATATGCGGTCTGCAAGCTGTATCGATATAGAGAGCAACACTCACCAGATCGGTTTCTAACTTGGACTGGCTCGTATACGTACACCGCGACAACTCGTAGAATTTTGCGATATGAAAACGTAATTTTTCCAAGTGCTATGGGCTCGAAAATAGGTGTCGAACGTCCGAGAGTACGTCGCAGTAGAGCGCGTTAACAAGCAGCAGCGCTACACGGATTACGTCTTCGCTAATTGCCCGACAATGCCGTAGCGGAGCAGCAACACGCGGCGGCCCCGTAGTCCTTTTCTGTCGATGGCCAAATAACGCGCTCGTTTAAATTAGACTAATGGCCGCTACGAGCGTGCGGCGTGGACATTGTCGCTCGCGTCGAGCCATTTCCTTCGCGTCGCCGTAGTGAGTACCCCTCCGAGCTGTTCTGCTGCGGCTGCTGATGCATAGAGACGGACGAGAACGACCGTAATATACTGGCGCAGCATTTGTGGACGCCTTGTGTACTCGTATACGTGGCCTAGCTTGATAGAGAGCCAAGATGCATTAAGAAAGCAACAGCAGCAGCAGCAGCCATGCTCGTAGTCTAGTATGAGCAGTAGTAACGAATTGAATTGTCAGACGAGCGCATCGATAAGAGTTCCGCGCAAGCTCGCCAAAAATCTCATCATCTTTCATGAACTCAATGCCCGCGTGCAAAAACGAGGCAACGAACAAGTCTTGCGTGTGATCAGCTGGTGCGTAGGATAAGTGTAAAAACAAGAAAGAATGCCGGTAAAGTGCCTGTTTTGTCTGTGTTTTTTCTCCCTTACGCGAGTACACGCTTAAGACGACTAGTATAGGGAAGACGAGAAAGTAGCTCGTTGTTTCGTTGTCTCGCTGTATACGTACGGTACGTCGTCGCATATATAAGCGAGATACATACTCGCGCGCATATGCAAAGGGTGCGTCGTCGTCGCGCGCCACAGTCCCCGATCCTCCCGCACATGTATATGCAGAGCGTATTACGATCGACTGCGCGAGCGGTGCGGGTTATATTCGACGAGCGGCTCGAGCCTTACAAGAGTAAGTGTAAGCAGTAAGCCATTTTCCAGACGATGAGGCGCAGCCACCCATGCGAAGCACAGAGAGCGCCCCTCGGCCTCAGCCTGACAACCCCCACCGTCGCTGCCGCCAACGTTCGACTCTGCGCTCGCTCTGGCTGCCTCTGCTCGCTATGGCTATAATCCCTGCATTACCGACCATTCGGGAGCGACGATCTATACGCGCTCTGCGAGGAAGCCGCAGCTACCCTCAGGTGTTAGGATACCGTGTGCGGCTTCGTCGTCGCTTGCGTTGCAGCTGTTCTGATTACACATCGCCTATATGCGGATTATCGTGCATTAGCCTTTTGTGTTGGTATCGCACGAAAAAAAAAGAACTGCTTCTCTAGCCGCTTCTCTTGCTCGAGGGCTAGCGAGAAATAAGAACGTACGTATATGGTGGTGAATAAGGAGTAATTACATATGACGCGCTTGCCGCTCTCCTATATACGTTTATACACGTATGCACTATGGGACGACCGGCGCGTCGTTCCTTGATATATTGATTGACGCGCGCCTGACCTGCGCTGTCAATTCCAAGACGGCCTTTGGCTTAATGCGGGTGTTAATACTCGCTGCTGTACGTCGATGCCCGAGCATCGATAAAATCACGCGCTCCGCGACTGTTCACGGAATCGTACTATAACATACATATGCAACTATATAACATATGTATAATAGTAATAGATGAAAATTTAAGCGAGAAACGCAAACTACTGGCCTGCGAGCACCGTTCAACTTTGCAAAATTCCCTTACCGACTCAATTCCATATCTGCGGATAGAGATAGCCGTATTATTACGTAATATCCGAGTAAGCGGGGACAGGCTGCGCGCCGAGTCACCGGTTTCAGGATTTATGCGGTCTTGGCTTTTGAAGGAAGTGCGCAGTATTGAACAATACCCCATACAGACGATCGTGAAAGCTCCTTATACGTACGTGACGCGTGTCGAGCTTTGTAAAAGTCGATCGACCGCGCCCTAAAATTACCCTCTTATTTTCAAGACTACCGGCTAAAATGACCGACTCATGCTTTATATACGGCCAGCTTTCTCGGGTATGTCTGTTTATTGCTAAGCTTTGGCCAGAAAAATGATTTGTTGCTGCTTTTGTTTCGATAAAAGAAATGCAAGGGCTTTTTTTTAATTTTAGCAATTTCTAAAAAAAATTGTTGTGGTTATTATTGCTACTGAATTCAATTACAACTAGTACTTGATTACTACTGTTTATGAATATGAAAAGATTTCGGTATCTTTTAAAGAGAAATGATTATTCTACGTCACGCAAGCTTAGCATTTTTTTAGCTCACTTGAATTTGCACGTACGTATAGATATACCTTTATACACGAAGTGAACCTATTTATTATTATGCGCTGATTATTGCACGTCCAATAGCGTGTACAAATTGGTCTTATCCTTGAAATTAATATAACGAAATTATATTTATTTGAGGCATTAAGGACAACCTCAAACTGTTATTACTTGATTCATTTTTCAAAAAGTGATTTTTTATTCGTTTTGATTAAAGAAAATAAATACTGAGTTAAAAAAAAACAAAATGAGCACTCAACGAACTAGTACACATACAAACGATCAATTTATCATAAGAGTAATTTTTCATTTCAACACCAACTTATCTGTATGTCACCAACATCAACATAGCATCAGAATCAGCTATATTTCTTATAAATTTACCTACGATTTTATGAATCATCAAAAAAGTCACGAGATCACGAGGTGAGGCGCTGTATTTTTAATCGGTTAAGACACGGGTACATAAAAATACGCTCGAGCTGCAGAATGAGTCATTTATTTTCTCGGATAGTTTTGAGCATCATCGTTGCGTACACGACCTCGGCCTTTGTAATCTTCTTTTTTTTTTATTCTCGCTCCCTCCCTCTCCCTCTCTCTCTGTCCTTTAAAGTACAAGATATTATAATTGCTCGTTTATTCGCACGACTTTCTGCAGTGTTTCTTGGTCGGTTATTTCGCGCTCGCGCGTAGAAGAAGCAATTGAGCCTGTTACGAGAGCAGCTTGACAGCCGGCGAGCAGCCAGTAGTCTCAATAACGACGGATCATCGTCGTCGTCAGTTATATAAATTGGCAAAAAGGTATAGGGAAACGAGGCCAATGATTGAATGAAAAAAATGTCACTGACTCCGCATATGCATGCGCATCAGTCTGTATTGCGCGCATATATTACACACAACACGAGTATAGCCTGCGTATACTGTGGCCCAAGTTTCAGCTCGCTTAGATTCTATTAGGACGTTTGCGAGTAACTCGACGTAATTGGCCAAAATAATCTCTTGTGAATTTATTCGAGCTGCAGAATGTCAGAGTGTTTAGAGTCACTGTCAGGCCTAAAGAGGATGTGGGAATAAATAGTTTGAGAAACTGATCCACTAGCGTACATACAAACGTACGTGCACAAACACGTATACAAAACGCAACTGAAGCATTACTGCACTTCGGTGAACGAAAAGGAAAAAAAATTCCGAAGCTCGAAGCTACGCATACATATTCATATACGCGTCGAGCTAATTTGTTGTAAAATTAATGAAACAATAAAAAAAAATGTTACAAACGTTTTACGCTCGTGCTTGTAAGCAGTCATTTTAATGTACCTATGTGTAACAATTATTTATTTTTCATGACACATAGAGCGACGCGTGCGCGCACGTTGACGACGAAAAAAAAACTCGCGTGCATGGGTTGCTTGGCTCGGATGTATGCGTGTACGTGTGTGCGTGTATATATTTGTGTACACCTACATACATACAATTTTTTTTCTTTTCATAAATTTGATATCGTAATCAGTGCGAAATATCTCTTCACCCTACATATATAGCTACGAAGCTTTCTGAAGCGTGAACTATATTTATTACAGATGCAAAAACAAACGTTGAGTGAGAATTATTTTATCGGATTTTACACTAGTGCTGCCGGTCGCAGTCGTAAATCATTACATAGTTTCTTCTCTGAGCGGCGCGGAGCACGAGCGCAATACAGAACTACACTCTGTTTTTTTTTCATCGAAAGTGCACCGACAATGTGTAACTATAAGTAAGCTAACACGATTAATATAATGAAATTATAAATTTCATCACGTTCCGCGAATGCAGCGGGAGAGAGGGAGAGCAATTAGTTTATGGGAAAACATTATTCTTTCAGGTTTGACAGATAGATAGAAAAAAAAAACAGGATGAAGAAA